ATCTCATCCGAAAAGACGGCACACACTGAGCAATATAGAGTCCCCTTCACTATACTGAGGAGTTAGGACCTACACAGACCCCAGGTTGAGCAACCCCTGCTGGCTTCAGTAACACCACTTCCAGCAGCAACCTAGCTTTCCAATTTGGTCTCCCTTCCAGGTACTGACCAGGTGCAGCACTGCTTAGCTTCAGTGGGCGATTCATTCTGCCGGTAATAATATTATGTTATTCATTCATTCATTTTCTTTTCGGCTTAGTCTCTTTATTAATCCAGGGCCGCCACAGCAGAATGAACCGCCAACTTATCCAGCACATGTTATATGCAGTGGATGCCGTTCCAGCTGCAACCCATCTCTAGGAAACATCCATACACTCTCATTCACACACATACACTAAAGACAATTTAACCTATCCAATTCACCTGTACCGCATGTCTTTGGACTGTGGGGGAAACCGGAGCACCCAGAGGAAACCCATGTGAATGCAGGGAGAACATGCAAACTCCAAAAAGAAACGTCAACTGACCCAGCCGAGGCTCGAACCAGCAACCTTTTAGCTGTGAGACGACAGCACTACCTACTGCACCACCGTGTCGCCAATAACTATGTCAATATTTTTTAAAATAAATAAATAGCTGCAACTTTAGGAAGTAGCTCCAAGTAAAAAACACAATGTGAAATATTGCTTATTTTATTATTATTATTTTGTTTTCTTTACTTTGATGAATGTAATGTAAATTAAATATAGTTTCTTCCTAATCTGTGAATTTAGAATTGCACACCTGCTTTATATTTTCCTTTTTAAACTGTTTTTTAGATGTAATACATTTTATTTACCACTTTTTTTTTGCATTTTTATATTTGTATGTGCAATTTCCTGTCAATGTAATTTCATAAACACCCACTTCTTATTTATTTATGTTTCACAGAATATTTCTTTCATTTATAATTTATAATTTGTTTTACAATTTAATTTCTTTTTATTTATTGTAACAAAACATATAGCTGCATTTATGTTTGAAGCTCAAGATATACAGTGCTCAGCATATATGAGTACTCACAAATCAAATTTTTTTATTTAATATTTTCTATAGCATGCTATACAATTTTAGAATAATAATCAATAAGTCTTTACATTTATATAGCCCTTTTCTGGACACTCAAAGTGCTTTTAAACATTGGGAGGAATCTCATTATCCACCATTTATATTAAGAGTTTATCCAACAGTTCTCTCTGGTTCTCGAATCTGATTGGCTGATAGCCGTGTGATATTTGGAATTCGACCACTCATACAGCCTCTTCACTCTTATGTATTACTCCACCCACAAAGAGTGACAAATCAATAAACCCACTGCAGTTTGACAAATATTGCAGCTATTGGACAACATAGTGTACTTTTGAGGCTTTTCTTAGGCGAAAATGTAGTTGTTTAGATTGGATAGCACTAATACTGATTAATGTCTCCAGACCGATGACATTTCATGCCGTTCAGCCTTATAATCCTAAAATGTGAGCAAAAAGCACCTGTTCCGTTATTACTTTAGGCTTTACGCAAGAGAATCATTCAAATACTATCTCTAAAGTGACATTGTGTTTTTAAGCAACGGTTTCTACTGTGCTGACTTCAGCTGCAGATGTGAATGAATGACAGAAGAATGTAATTCCTCATACAAACGGATGTTTAGACTCTCCATGTTTGATTTTTGTAATAATTTTAAGTATTATATTTCTGCTTCAAAAGATGTTAGTAGACAAAAATGTTATTTTAATTAATATATCTGTTTAATAAACCTGTTTTGTTCAAATGCGACAAAATATAATAACAATATTCAATGAGAATTAGAAAAAATAAATTTTCAAAATGGGGTGTACTCATATTTGCTGAGCACAGTGAGAGGATATTATATATGTGAGTTTTAAATGCATCACTGCTTATTTGATAAAAAAAAAAAAAAAAACTTCCTTTTCTTGCTGTTAAACTGAACATGTTCTTTAACAAAACCAATGCTGAGAAGAACATCCACAAGTCACAAGCTTTGTTTGTATATTGGGCCCTTCACTTTGTTTAAACGGTTTACCCAAGGCAATGATACTAACGAGATAACTTCAATCCGCTTTGCTTCTTTCCTTGTGTACTGACCCAGTGCACCACTATCCACTTGACCCAGTGTCACGACAGAAAAAGAGCGGAGCAATGTGTGCAGTCAACCCTTCTCGTTTTACTCCAGCCTCTGAATGAGCCTTCAGTTGTGCATAGATCTATGCTTTCTTTACCTCAACAGGCCTCCAGCTAATTCAGTTATACTCAGGTTGCGTTTCGTGTTCAGCTCTAAGCAATTTCTAGTTACTCAAACACATTTAATACTGAGGGAAACCTGCAGGTAAACCCTACAAATGAGGAGAGAAAATAAAAGCATGACTATTTTTTCATGGACTCTTGTACAACAGATTCCTCAAGGTCATTTATTGCCTACCCAGATATTTTCTAACCAATAGGAAACGCACTACAGGACATCCAGCCAATCAGATGTGGTGACCTTTCAGCATTCAGCCAATCAGGTCTTTTGACAGGAGGGTTTTTGCATTCCGGGTAAAGCAGATTTGTCTGCTCTGATCATGGGTCTTGTTAATGAGATCCAGGATTAACCAGACCCTGTGTCAGTCTCTGAAATAAATGGTGGTGTGTTAGTGGTAATGGAGAATAAAGCACCTAAAATTACTAGTTCAACACATATAAGAATAATTATTTGATTTTTGTGCTGTTCTTCCTATGAAACATGATGAAATGTGTTACAAAACTAGATTTGATACGCAGGCCACTTTTTATTATTGTTCAGTGGAACTTTAAAGAAGATTTTTAGCTGAAATCGTGGTCATGGGTGATTCATAAGGGCATTTTTTTTATTAAACAAATATGCTGATTATAAACTACAGTCTTATGAAGACTTATGAAGAAATTTTATAAGTTTAAGACTGAACATAAAACAATTTGTTTGTCCCCCCCAAAAATTCAATATTGTGTTGTTCAGCTCATTTTAAATAAAAGCTAGTTGGAACAAACAGAAGTGAGTGTAGGCCTATTAGCTATCAAGAGCTATATGCATTTTTGGCTGATTTTAATTTATTTATTTTTTGACTTTCAAACTCTCAGTAATAATTGACCATAACTTTTACATCATGGCTTTGTCTACAAAAATCATTTTAATGTCTTACTGGAGAAAAAGCAAGCAACTATCCCTTAAAAATGGATGCAGCTATGGCTAATGCTAGCATACAATACTTGTGGGCTTGGATCACAGTTGTTTTCTTAGATGTAAATATGCCCTCAATCCTCACTTTGACAGACAGGAAGCGGCTCCTTGGCCATACAACATTTTTAGCCTTGCCTTTGATTAGATCATGTGACTTGTAAATCTCTTTTGATCCTACACTGCGACCATTCCTGCTGTCCCAGTAGTGGACTTAAGGCGGTGGTCTTTAAAAAAACAATTATTGATGATGAGCATTCTTCATATAGTAATAACAGTGTCAAATACAGGAAAGACTAATTTGCCATCAAGGTTTTTATGTGAAATTAAAATGCAATTGTATTCAAGCATCATTGTAAATATGTTTGATGTAAAGCAAGGTTGTATAAAGAAATGTTTGTTGAAGAATAAAATGATTATCATAGGAAGATATGGTGTTTTATTTTCAGCGTGATTCAGTGTGACAGAGGGGCTATGATGCAATACTGATCACACACATAAGGCCTACTTGTGGAAAGCTAGCGTCCTCTGCTGGTTCATAAATGGATTTATAACATTTAACATTGTTGTGTGTTACGATAATATAGGCGACGTGCTGAGCATACACCCCTCACAGATCTCTCTTTTAAATTAATATTTGTTAGGGGATGCTTTATAATATGTGTAGATATTCATTAGATAAGTCACTATCAAAGCCAAAACTGGAACTTTTTAAACAAACATTTTTTAAACATTTTTTAAATTAGTTTTTTTATATATATTATCATTCCTCTGTTTAATAAATGTTATGAAACGTAATATGACAATTTTCAAGTTTAAAAATATAAGAAAAACGAAGACAATATTTATTTAGGTAAATAGGCCTTCTATTATTATACCTAATCATTCTTAAGATATTTTATGTATTTATTGCCAAATAAAAAACAGCACTGTACAAACACGCAGTAAAAATAAATAGAATAAATAAAATGAAAATAATAAAAATCATTTAAATAATCATTTAAATATATTATCATTCCTAAATATGTTCGGTGATCAAACTCTTAATATTGGGAATATCTTATATTATTATTATTAGGCCTATTATTATTATTATGATTATGATTATGATTATTATTATTATTATTATTATTATTATTAAGTCATGCTATCTATCATTATTTTATTACTCATAATTTTGTAATTTTTTTCATGTTACAAAAGTTTAAAGAAAATAGCGGGAGGTCTTTTACTATGTCTATCATATAAAGCATTTATTTTGTTTTTACTCAATAAAAAAATAATTAAATAAAAATAATAAAAATAATAATTTAAATGTATTATCATTCCTAAACATGTTTGGTGACCAAACTGTTATTTTCGGGAATATCTGTTTAATAAAACTTTTTTGTGTAAATGTATGAAACATATGACGATTTTCAAGTTCAAAGTTCAAAAGTAAAAACATCATAATAAACAAAAACGGGGATAATATTTATTTATTTAGATATAGGCCCTCTATTATTATAAATAATCATCTTTTCTGTATTTAATACCAAATTAATTACTGAATTAAGTGCACTGTACAAACATACAGCTCGTGCTGCTCTAATTGACTTAATGCGCATTTCACTTATTGTGTACATTTAAAAGACGCTCGTCATTCTGTCACCACGGCAACTTGAGTTGGCTTAAACATCCACACAACTGTCTCGATCCCGATCATCGCGCTTCAAAACTCTTATCAAATCTCCTGTTGGCGAATTTCATCAGTTTGTCTACTTTTGGAAATTGTTTTGAAGCTGTTCATGATGACTCTGAGGCGCTCAAGAAGAACCAGAGCTGTCCCTGCTCACCTGAAGGGCTTCCTGCTGGAGCGCGTCTCTTCCCGTGAGGAGCCAGCAGCGGCGGCCAGGCCGGACACCTCCAGCTGCGTGTCGGACACTTCTCTAGAGGACAAACACCTGAGGAACGCGGCTGTCCTTCCTGTCCTGCGCCCCGCAGCCTCAGTCTCCACAGTGGGTGAGTGTCCGCAGGAGGAGCCGCTGTCCATCCACGGCCGGAGTGTGCAGGAGTACCAGCACATCTACCGCTGCGTGATGGACTCCACCATGAAGAAGCGGCGCCGTAGCAGATACAGCCTACAGCAAGGCTTGGAGATCAAGCAGCGGCTGTGGGAGAAGCTGGACCGGCCTGCACTGCTGGAGACAGAGATGCCTGACGGACGTGTGGTCATCACAGAGATCAGGTCTGGGTCCAGCCTCGCTCCCCATATCAAGGTAGACATCAGTAAAGAGCCGCTGCCTAAGGAGCCCAGAAGAAAGAAGGCCAGGCACTGAGCCACCCTAGTGCCAGATGGAGGATCAAGGGCACGTATGTACATATGTATATATTGTATATAGTTATAGAATAAGTTTGCAATGCATTCAAATTGACTTTTCATTCATGCTTTCATCACATTGCTGGATATTTTGGTAATTGTCGGTGCTGTTGATTCGGCTCTTGGGTTCTTTTGGACGTTGACATGCGTTTAGCAAGGTTTTCTTGGCGGTTTCTTGCGTGTTGCTGGTCTCCTCTGAGTGGTTTTTGGATCATTAGTGGTTGTTAGGGTTGTTAGTGTTGGCTGTTGGGTTAGGGTAGGTTAGGGTCCCTCACACGGTTTGCAGCTTGACGTGCTGTGAGGGCTTGTGTGCATCAGTGATGCTGAGAGCTATGCCACTGGTACTTCACAGCTACCGGTAGGGTCACCCATAGTGGACAGGTCTCAGCTGAGATGCCCGACCAAGACAAACCACCTGATTCTGGACAGCAGAAGATGGACTGATGCTCCAGACAGAAGATGTCAACTTCAAAATCTCTCTCACACTCTCTCTCTCTCTCACACTCTCTCTCTCTCATACTCACACACACACACACACACACACACACACACGCACACACACACACACACACACACACACAAACACACACATAAACAACACACACACACACACACACACATATACACATATACACATACACACACACACATACACACACACACACACACACACACACACACACACACACACACACACACAGACAATAAATAAGAAAAAAAATCTTACTAATTAAATAACTACTGGTAAAAAATTATTTACCTTAATTTAAAGAATATTTTAAATTTTTGGAAAAAATATACTTTTTCAATGTTTTGAAATAGGCAAGTCTACTTTTACTAAAACACATGAATGAAATTAATGGATTATATCATCAAACATGTAACACTCATGGCCCTGTGGTAAAATAAAAATTAGTGACCACTGAACAGTTATTATTGGTCATCCTGAATTGAATTGATGCAAATTATTGAGAAAATTCCATGTTTAATGATATAAAATTGACTCAGAAATGACCACCGAAAGAAGACTTCAGTTCATTATTGTAATAAATGTGAAAAGAAGCAAGTAAACATTTACAAAAATAATCTACAATACAAAGAAATTCATACAGATTTAAATGGCACAAAAGTGTGTAAATGATGACAAAATGATTTTGTGTGTGTGAATTATCCCTTTATTAAACAAAAGTTTATTGCACTTTTTTGCATTTTAATATGAAATTCAGATTTTTAAAATGAAAATAATCCTGAAAATCAGAATGTAAATCTTCCAGTAGGTGGTCATAATGTCTATTGAGTGAGACGATTTGGTCAAACAACTGAATCATTCAACAATGAAGTAAAGCGCTGTCTGGACTGTTTAAAACATTCAGAGTCATTCAGAAAGTAGAAACACACAAGATCTCATGTGGCCTTTAAGGTAATGTTTTACACAATTCTCAGTACTTTTTTCATTTTTAAATACAAAAGGAAATTTTGACCTAATTTACAACATTCTCAAATCTCTGAGTGGCCATGAGCAGAAGATCTGAGTTCAGAGTTTTCATTTAAGAATTATTATTGACCTTGATATTATTATTACTATATTACTGCTACTATTAGTTTTTACTAGGCCCACACGGAATCTGCGGTCGCAGAATTTCGCAGATTTTTTTCCTCAGATTTTCTGCAGATTTCCGCAGACTTTTAGCCCATCATTAATTCTGTTTATTTACTCGAGTAAAAGTGTGTAAATCTGTATTTATTCAGTTTTTAAAATAATTACAGTAATATTATTGACTAATTTAAAAATATTCATCTGAACTATGTACAGTGCACTTTGTAAAGTAATATTTTTTGTCTTTTAGTAGATATAATATATGAGAGACTTGCTTTGTTTACCAAATAAAGTGAATGTAATTGGATTTGCATTTTAAACATTAAATAAAAGTTAAAAAGATATTATTTTTTATTACACATATTAAGGTTTTAGTTATGATACTCCCAAAATAGTTGAAAATAGAATTCTACAGCAACACAAATGCTCTTGTGCGCAGGAAGAAGTTCCTCAGACAGGAAGTGGAGAGCAGTACTTTTGGAAGCCCTGCTGCTGCTGCTGAGTTTGTGGAGCACCTGCAGTCCAGATACTGGATCTCTACTCACCTGCACTCAACTCAACACTGATGCAGCACCAGGTGGCTCCTCATTCACTGTCACTGATTCTTGTTGTTACAGTGCCTCATTGCCAGTGTTTTTAGCTCTGTCGTGTAGGTTATTAATTTCCATTTTTATCATAAAATAAATCCATATTCATTACTATTTTCCTTGTTTAATTTAATTTATATTACAAACAAATGAGATTCCAGAGATTCTTGCTTTAGCCTGATAGCATCACTAGCCAACTAAAGTTATTAGCTTCTTTCACTTACTGTCTTGGCTCTTCACCCTGTACAATGTCACTTGTGTGTTTTTCTTTGAGTGCAGGAGAAGCATCGGTGGAGGGGTTGGAGCTGGAGCTGGAGGCAGTGGAAGCACAGATCTGTGACCTCGAGATGAAACTAGTACAGCTCCGAGAACAACGAACCTTGCTTGACGTCTCTCAGGCTGCTGCTCGCTCATCTGACGTAAGTGTGCGATACAATCTCAACACTTCTTCCACCTCAGCCCCGTGTGTTTCTCTGTCCAGGCCCAGTTTATCAGGGACACGGCACGCCCAGGTGTTGTTCACTTCAGTACCAGGCCACCGCAGCCCCTGGGTGCAGCAGTGGTAGACACGAGCCAGGACCCCAGGCAGGGTCTCTCCTCCACCGCCACCTCCAGTGTTTGAGATTCTCACAGAGAACCGTTTTCCCCCCATGTCTGTGAGACAGGACACGACGTCGCAATCCTCTGTCATTCAATCGTTGCGACATCTCTGTGCTGCATCCACTAAGGGTAATAATGTACGCAATCACTGCTTTTCTATTGCTTGTGCTAAGGATGTTTCTGCTAAGGTATCCGATATCCTGAGTGCTGGCGAGAACATTGAAACTTTCGTCCTGCACGTGGGGATGAACGACACCAGGCTGCAGCAGACGAAGATCCTGAAGAGGGACTTTCGGAGCCTGACCGAGATGGTCTGATGCACTTTACCAGCTACACAGATCATCGTTTTTGCAACTCTTCCTACTCACCGCTGAGAAAATGAAAGGTTCAGTAGACCTTTTGCTCTGAATGAATGGCTGTTAACATGGTGTGATGAACAGAAGCTGCTCTTTGCTATTATTTGGAATGTTTTCTGGGAGCGTCCTCGGCTTTTCCGTGCAGATGGTCTGCACTCTCGCAGAGCTGGAGCTGAACTCCTGTCTGACAACATCTCCAGGATGCTTCGTTCTGTTTGACTTGTGAGTGAAAATTCACATTTCAGCCATCAGTCTGTTCCTCATACTTTTAGATTAAGAAGTAAATTTACTATGTATTCAAAAAAAAAATCCAATAAGAATACACTAGATCTATTTTTGCCTCATGGAATTGAGGTCATTGATGTAAACATTACACCACAAAGTAATGATGTAACAGATATAACACTGCCTCTTAATATATAAGCTGTGTTTACCTGAAATGAGCAAAACAGCACAGATATATCGCCCAGGTAGAACTATCGTTCCGTCCACTAAAGACAAATTTATGAATAACATACCTGATCTTTCTCTATTTCTAAGTGCACCCGCAGACACAAGTGACCTTGATGTAGTAACTAGCAGCATGGATGCTATCTTCACTGACACACTAAATACTGTGGCACCCATCAAATTAAAAAAAGGCTAGAGAGAATAAAACTACATCATGGTATAACCGTCATACTCGCACTCTCAAAACAGCAACTCGTACCCTTGAACATAACTGGAAAAAAAACTATTAGAGGTCTTTAGAATTGCGTACAAAGTATGTCCAGCTATAGGAAGGCTCTAAAATCCGCCAGGGCTGAGCACCTTCACAAACTGATAGAGAATAACCATAACAATCCTAGATTTTTATTTAACAGCTTTGCTAAACTGACAAATAATCGGTCTTTGTCAGAACAAATTTCCCACCACAAATTAGTAGTGATGATAACTTAAAAAAAGAAGGATTCAGACAGAAAATAGAAGATGTTAAACTTTCTGCACCATCTTATAGTTCAGATGTCACGGTTTATGGATCTGTGTGTTCCTCCTGTATGTTATGTATCTTGCCTTGTGTGTTGTCATGTGTGAGGGTGTGTGTTTGTTTACCTTTTGTGTTGACAGCGTGCTTTTGGATCAGCTGATGTCATCAGCTGACTTAATCATCTTCCAGCCGGTCCTTATTTGCCTGGCTATATATTTCCTCATGTGGTATGTTCTGCTTATCAGTCCGTTGTTTGTCTTGTTTCTGTCTGTTGTTTTCCAGAATCCTTCGTTATTCATTGATGTCTTCATTGTGACCCGTGGCTCTCGTTTCGAACTTTCTTGTCTCCAGTTCACTCCAGTGATATCCTTTGTTTCATTTTTCAGTTAATAAACACTTGCAATTGGATCCTTTTCGTCTAGTGTCGTGACAGAACGGACTGATCATCACACATGGATCCAGCGAGTATCTCCGACTTGCAGGAGTTTGTTTCGCAGGCCACCACACGCATGGACAGGCAAGATGAGCAGATGAACAACACCAGTCGCGCTATCCAAGCGTTGGTAAATAAGGTGTCTGAACTCACCACACAGCTGCAAAGTCTTCATACTGCTGGGGTGGTCCAGCAGCCTGTTGCAGCTAACATTAGTCCACCGGTAGTGTCCGTGTCTGATCAAGCTGCTCGATCTACCGAACCTCGCCTCCCACCTCCAGCCTTCTACTCCGGAGAACCGGAGTTGTGTCGTGTCTTTTTGGCGAAATGCTTGCTGTACTTCTTCTTGCAGCCTTCCTCCTTTCCCACGGAGGAATCGAAAGTA